CCCCTCTGTGAGGCTATCTATGACGGAGACTCTATCTATGCTCAGCAATGAACTAGACCGTAATGAAAAAAAAATGCCTTTATAACCTTTTGATAACAATTTTCTTTTTGTGTATTTAAATTTGAATGTAAGCACAAAAAGAAGTAAGTAAAGCAACTAAGACAAACAATTTAATTTCACGCCATAAATTAAAAATAAACTATATGTGGGAGCTCATTTATATTCATTGGCGTAGCTAGAGGTTAAGTAGAAACAGGGAGGAGGGCAGAGGTTTAAACTTTTATTCCGATTAGAGATCAATTAACTTTTAAATTATAGAAATAACAAAATTTAAGCCATTCATACTTAATGATATAAAGAATAAGAATGCAATATAGCTTGAAGAGTTCCATTGAAAAATGGTTCAAAACGTGCATGGGCGACGCGACGTAACAATGAGGGGAGGTGACGTCATATCCCGCCAGCGCGGAACACTCCACTTACACGTAAAATCGAAAAGGAAACGGATTGGAATGAGTTGAATTCTAAATTGTGTGACCGGTGCTTTATTAATGAATTCGGGACATTAATTTACATAAACCTGCTTTCATATTATGAGTAAACCTACGTTATTAGCTCATTTAAAGGTTTTTTTTTTAATATTTACTTACACCAGTGATAATACTTGATAATTTTTTTTTGAGATTTTAGTGCATTTCTATGATCCGTAAAATACGACAAAATTATAGAAAAGGAATGAACATTAATTTAATTATCTAATGTGACCTTTTGACTAAGGCGATTTTTAATTCTCTTGAAATAGCATTTATTGACAGAATTTAATTTGTATTTTAATATTTTCAATTACATTATATTAACATTAATTATATTATTATTACATTTTGTCGAAATTAAAAATATAATATATAATATTAAATTCAAATATGACTTAATATAACGTTATAAAGCAAAAAATAATAATATTTTAAATTATTACTATTCATAGACTATATAAACAAAGAGACTAAGACTAGTCAAAAGGCAAGGCGTAACGAAGAGTGCACGCCTTGCAATACATAACGCAGTATTGGTACCGACTTTGTTATATGGCAGCGAAACCTGGGTATGCCAGAAGAAGCATAAAAGTAAGTTGAATGCTGTGGAGATGCGATCTCTTCGTAAAATGTGCGGCGTTACTATGGCCGACCGAAAGCGAAACGAAGAGATTCGCAATATGGCAGGTTTGAAAGATGACCTTATCACAAAAATTGATAAGGGCGTGCTTCGGTGGTTTGGGCACGTTGAGCGAATGAGTGAAGACCGAATGGTGAAGAAAATATATAGCGCGAAAGTTAATATTAAAAGATGTCGAGGTAGACCGAGACTAACTTTCGAAGACCATGTGAGCAAATTGCTCGAAGAGGGTAGGGTCAAGAGTACTCGGATACCTAGACGTGCATGCATGAAGAAGATAATGAAACTGAAAGAAGCGAAAGAGGTTTGTAAGGATCGTGACACTTGGCGATCTGTTCTCTCTGGCTACCCCGTCAGGGATTGTGCGTGAAGATAAGTAAGTAAGTAAGTAAGACTAAGACATCCGCAAAAAAACCCGTTTGACCTTTTCAATTCACAATAAACCAGACAAACTAGTTAACGATAAAACTTATAATAAAACTTCGTCTGAGTATTCGTATCAGCACGAAAGTCTAGCAGTGACCGTTATTACGCATAAGTCGCGCTGATTGGCTCGTGCCTATCGTTCGCAAGCACTGATTGGCTCTCCAGTCGTATTTGTTCAATTCAATTCGTGCGCGTCCCCTCCACGTTTCGTTCAGCGCTAGACTTACGTGCCGCGACTGTGTGACATTCCATCTTTGTTCTCAGAAGTGACAACGCACTGAATATTGGATATTCCGTTTTGTGTGACAATGCATCAGTAGCCTTCTTTGTATGAAGTTGGATGCTTTAGCCTCTTACCATCAGGTGGAACGACGTTCGCTTGTCACTTCAGTATTATAAAAAAATATAGCTTGCAACTTATAAGGTTATACTCGCCCACTTACACTCTTATAAAGAAATCCGTAAATATATAACATAAAGCATCTTGACATATTCATAAATTACAGGTAAATTTATATATTTAGGTGAGAACTAAATAAAATTTTAGCGAGCAGCCTTATATTAAGAGTAAGAACTGCAATACTGATAAGTCGTAGCTTTGTATCAGCCAATAGAAGTCGTAGCACATACATTTTTATCTTAGTTTTATCAGTTAATGAGAATAATATCAAAGATAATAGCGTTGCATATAGTCTTTAATAATTCAATAAAATAGTTAAACTTATTTCGCCTAACTTGATGATTAAAATAAACATTTCTTCAACTTTATAATTATCTTAGTACTTTCAAATTTAAATTAAATAATCTTAATTAATAGTCCATTAATTTGCCATCACCATAATGTTCATTGGATAGACAAATTTGAAAGTTTTTTACGTGGGGAAATCCACTTTCTATGTATTCCCATACATAAAACTTTATAATTTGTGATATATATATATTATGTATTGTGTATGTATGTTGGACTCTTGCCGGATAAAACCATACGGTGTTCATATTTTCGCCCTTTGTCGAAGTTATGTACTACGTACTTACGTACACTGCCGCAGACCCGATGATGGTCTCATACAGGCTCCTTCTCGTTGATGAAGCGAACCTGAAGTTCTCCGACCCTTCTCCTAAATGCGGCGCGCGAGAACACCGTACGTGTAATCCGAGGTCTTAAGAGTTAGGACAACGAACATTGTATTCCCCGGTTATATTATCTCTTCCGGTGCCCGTCTCTCTTTCTCTCCTCTTTCTTTGTTACTAGGTACAGATTTCTTCACGAGCATTCCCAAAATCCAATTACTCGTTGGTCTCGGTGTTTTATTTCTTATTTATTTTATAAGACTTATGTCATCTATCTTTCCCTTTTCTTCTGGAATTTATCTGACTTTCACAAAAATTAAACTCGCTTTCAATTTTACAATTTTAATATCGTCTGAGTGAGTCGTAAGCGCGACTGCTGTCATAAGATCAAGGCTCTGTTCAAAAAAACTGGTATTGCGTTTTTCTATCAAGAAATTGTGAGTATCAGCCTGGAGTCTTTTACGTGGTAGAGTCATGCTGCAGCTATATTAGTAGTATAGTTGTAGCACAAATGTGTCGGCTTGACCGGGGAAGGACCACGCTCTCACAGAATAACAGCGTAAAATAGCAGCTTAACACTGCTGTGTTTCGTATGGTGAGTGTAGAGAACCAGAGACCTATTTTACTGGAAAAGAGGCATTCTATCTTAGTCCTCACGGCTGACAACGCATCTGCATTTTAATTCGCAAACGAAGATAGATGTAGATGTCTATGGGCCACAGCAACCACTTACCATCAGGTGGACTGTGTGCTCGTTTGTCAAAAAAAAATGCAGATATTTTTTCATGATAATGGTGTTCTCCTTTGCCACGCGGTGGCGGAGCAAGAAAACTTATCCCCCCTTTCTCGTTTACTTTAATTACTTCAATTTTTAATGAAACAAAACACAAATTATTTGTCTCAGACCAACTATTATATTTATTCTTTTTTCAAAGCAAAAAACAGCACTCAGTTACACAGATACAGTTACTCAGATAGATGTAGATGTCTATGGGCCACAGCAACCACTTACCATCAGGTGGACTGTATGCTCTTTTGTCACCCTATCCTATAAAAACAGTGTGGAAGTTGGCAGTGTTTCAACCACGCGCTTTGTTTCCAACCCCTAATTCCCTTTTAATCGTGTCGAATTGCCGTCCCATCAGACTAATGGATATGCACTTATTCTGTGCAGATGCGTTTAACAGGAATTAATATTGAAAATAGTCATTTAATTTAATGATGTCCTCCTTACCGAAATTATGGCTAGTTAGACTGGCCGACGTGTCTTAAATTCTGTCTGGAGGACATAATTACATCAAATAATTATTTTTCTCTTATTTCAAAAATCTTATATTTTCGAAAAAAATGTCCCTTCTATCCTCTGTATCATATCCTTTCATTTATTCTCGACTGCTATCATCTCATGTTTTATATTTAAATTTTTGATCAAGAATACCACTGACTTCTTCATCTGCGTAAAACTCTCTGAAATAAATTGCTTTCAAAGCGTTAAGGCTGCATGTTTGTAGCAACTTTATGTTTATATATTTATGGTGATTAAGACATAATACATAGGCTGCACTAAAAGTATCCGGAATGGAATATTTCCACTGTTCCTGTCATATTAAAATCTTTTTAATTGAAAAGTCCTTGGTTTTTTAAAATTGAATACCATTTATTTATAATATGCAGTAAGGATGATTAGTTTTATGGAACTGGAGATGGGAGGGATTAGGTAATCTTCCTCAAATATGAAGTTAAAACTCAGAAAAATAAAATATTTCGTTTGCCAACCCGTCTGCCATGCACGACATCTATGACAACCCTATGAGGCAATCTATGTGGACGGTATATGTCCAACTGAGTGCTGTTTTTTGCTTTGAAAAAAGAATAAATATAATAGTTGGTCTGAGACAAATAATTTGTGTTTTGTTTCATTAAAAATTGAAGTAATTAAAGTAAACGAGAAAGGGGGGATAAGTTTTCTTGCTCCGCCACCGCGTGGCAAAGGAGAACACCATTATCATGAAAAAATATCTGCATTTTTTTTTGACAAACGAGCACACAGTCCACGTGATGGTGTGGTTGCTGTGACCCATAGTAAACTACATTTATCCTCAATAAAGAATCAAAATGCAGATGCGTCGTCACCCGTGAGGACTAAGATGGAATGCTTCTTTTCCAGTAAAATGGGTCTCCGGTTCTCTACACTCACCATACAAAACAAAGCAGTGTGAAGCTACCATTTACGCCGGTATTCATTTCAGTTTGAAAAATGACTGCATTTTAGCCAAACTTTCAACATTTACACCATCAATCGCTTGACCGAATGTTTTTGTTTGTTTCAGGAGGATGGCACGGTGGAGTACTTCAACAATATAATAGTGCAGCCACACCTGAAGCTAGTGACGGGGCAAGGGCGCGGGTACCACGTGCGATGTCGCTACCGTCGCCGCGACCTCACCATGTTCAACCTGCATCGACCGCATGCCGACCGACTTACGCAATCCAGAGATGGATACAATAGGTATATTATAAATTTGATATGCGGTGCGATTATTAGAAATAGTAATAATGTCCTTAAGACCGAATTTCAGTCACGGCGCCCAGTCTCAATAGGGAATAGCCATCTACGCAGGACAAGATTATAGTGTACATCTATAGCAAGCAAAAGTGTGGTCTCTATTCCTTCACTTTCATAGTCTGATGGGACTTTTTACGTGGTAGAACCATACTGCAGCTGTATTAGTTGTATAGTTGTAGTACGAATGGGTCGGCTCGACCAGGGAAGGACCACGCTCTCACAGAATACCAGCGTAAAATAGCAGCTTAACACTGTTGTGTTTCGTATGGTAAGTGTAGAGAATCGGAGACCCTTTTTACAGGAAAAGAGGCATTCCATCTTAGTCTTCACGGGTGACAACGCATCTGCATTTTGATTCGCAACCGAGGATAGATGTAGATGTCTATGGGCCTCAGCAACTACTTACCATGAGGTGTACTGTGTGCTCGTTTGTCACCCTATCCTATAAAATAAACGGTAATCCAACACGACTAGAGAGAGATCAGGTGTAGGACTTTTGGCTTTACATACCTACCTGCTTTCCGAAACACGAAAGTGAAACACCGCCAACAAAGTGACTCGGGGCTGATTATGAGAATTTCTTGACAGAAAAACCAAATAACTGATTTTTGACCTAACCCAGGAATTTGAACCTTATTTCTTATTGAAAGTGATTTCTTTTTACTTTACTTTTACCTAAGTAGCTCATCTGGTTCGATCTCCGCCGACACCGATGAAATTGTTAATCGCAATTTTAAGAGCTCATTTGCCACGTGCTCGGCGTTGTAGGAAAACATTGTGAGGAAACCTGCATGAAAGAGAAATTTAAAAAAATTCAAAGACGAGGAGTCTGCCAAGACGTATCGGGGCAGCGTTGTGGACACTTTCTTGTCCTAAAACCCTCTCAGAAATGAAACGAGAAATGAGAGGAGGCACGTGGTTAGGATTGAGACATATTACGTGGTAGGACTTTAAAATATAACCATAATATATAGGTACCATAATATTATGGTTGTAGCACGAATGAGCTGACCGCTCAACCGAGAACGGACCAGGCTCTCACAGAATTCCAGCGTAAATAGAATCTTAATACTACCGTTTCATATGGTGAGGGGTGTGTAGAGTACCGGAGACTCTTATTACTGGAAATGAGGCAACGCATCTGCATTTTGATACTTAATTGGAGATAGATGTAGATGTCTATGGGCTACGGCATCGGCTTACCATCAAGTGGACTGTGTGCTCATTTGTGACTCTTATTCTAAAAAAAAAAACTACATAGGCTGTAATTTTACTTTTTTAAATTGCAGTGACGAGTTTGATGAGGATTCGGGACTACTGCCGTCGGTTACGATGAAGATTTACAAAGGAGACCCTAAGGATAAACAGGTATGGTAAACTTAAATAATCAAGTATTAATCCCTACTACAAAATTCATTATAAAAGTGGAAAAATATTTGCTATCCCATAAAAAACTTATGCATAAGCAAAAGGATTATAAAACTAAGTGATACATTATTAATAAAAAAAAATATTTTGAAATTTGTGCCCTCATTTTTTATCTGTTAACTGTCTGCTGTAATACAAACTACAATTGATTGTCTTAACTTTATGCAAATAATTTAACTGACCTCGAAGTCTTGACTGAATGCTATTATTATATTTACATATTAAAAGGTCGACTCGTAGTCAAAATTAATATTCAAGACAATTCAAGAAGATATTGTTTGTGTTCTATTTATTCTGTACGAGAATACATCGCCCCATTTTATCCCGTGGGTGTTGTAAATGGCAACTTGACTAGACTAGCTATCCAGGCTGGCGACGTGATGGAATCTTCACTACAGTGTGAGATCCCATATCCAGCAGTGGACTTAAGTGGAAGATAAAAAGAAATCATGAAGTTGAAGTAACATACGAAATTATAATCTAGTGCCATGGTAAGTGGCGATTTGTGTAAAGTTGCTTGTCGTGGAGCATGGACACGAAGTGCTGGTAATTATACTGGCTTTTGTAGTGGCTTTCTATATCGTTCAGGGCGAAACAGCAGTGCACGCACTCCTGCTTGGCGGTGAAGTAGGCAAGAATGTGGTACCTTCACTGATGGACACTTAGACAGAAAATAGTCCTGGCACCTACATCTTCTTACCTATTAGTGAAGTGGCGGTATAAGAATATTCATTACCCCTTCATATCGTTCCGTGGGTGCCGTAAGATTCGATAGAGGGAAACAAACCATAATAATATATAAAAATATAAAAAACTGTCACAGCAAACAACTATTGCAAATATCATATCTGAGGCAATATATGGGGGAGTCTCCCCAGGGGAGATCTTTTATAGAAATAGAAATATATTATTTTTTATTCAATATACCTGTACTTATTATAAGTAATACTTATTGAAAGTCAGTTTTTGAACGTGGCGGGAATTACCAAGAATGAATCACTGATTCTGTGGAGTCAAATAACTGGTACTATTAGCTTGAATCTGTTTATAGCATTTACAGAGTGAATATCACTGATTCACTGGTTCAGCAGTGGACTTTTGATATGCTGCAACGTTAAGGGTACCTAACTCTGGTTATTATTTTCAATGTGAGAGCAGGTCGCATCGAACGTGCGCATTGGTGACACGCTGACACTGCTCGTGTCGCTGGAGCGGCAGCGACGTTACGGGTTGCTCGTGTCAGAGTGCGCAGTACGCGACGGACTCGGTTGGGCCGAACAGAGTCTCATCACCGACGACGGGTGAGCACAAGTTACTTTTTTAACCAGGTTTTTTTTATAAACTCGCTTTAGTGTATGCAAATAACTTTAAACAATGAATGCTACAGATGCGTTGTTAGCTCTTAAGGACCAAGATGAAATGCCTTACAGCCTGTTATTATGGGGTTTCTTATACCATAATGACGGTGGAATACATTAATAGGTTCTGTGACTTATAATGGAGCCAGAATAATTACAGGCTATGACACAAAGGTATCCCATTTAAGGCCTTTAGAGATGAGAGCCACTTAAAGCGTTCTTTGTTGAAAGTTTATCGCAAGGTATCTGGGATTAAGTAACCATTTACCGTCAAGGAGATTGTTAGCTAGTTTATCAGTACAAAGGTAACAAGTTAAATTCAAAAAAAATATGTATTAAATTTTTTTAACATACGACGCGATATGTTAAATCTTTTTCATATTTTTACATTGTCATCGAATTCTGAGCTGTGTTCAAAATTTTAAGTCTCAAACTCAGCGGGAAGTTAGTTTCAAATCAATTACTAAGTTCCATCCGAACGAAATTCATTCGTAACTACTCACCACCCGATGAAGGTAATTTGTCACTTCAATTTCAATTTTATGCTTAAATCATGTAATACGAATAGATACGAATTGTATATTGAGATACAAAATGCTATAATTTTTCTTTGTGTATGAGAAACATTTTACATACATGAATTGCAACACTGGCAACACCCGGAACAATTATTTGCACTCTTTTTTTCATTTAGAAATCCTCATGGATAAATACAGATAATCCTCATAGGGGAAGCAGGTAAGTTACATCAGACGCTTACCGACTAAAACCCTACGCGACCGCGATCCTTTAAATTGAGGTCGTCCCGGGCTTGCTTCCGAACTTCCGATAACGACAACGATATTTGCAGGCCCTACCAATACTTTTTCCATGCGGGGTTTGAACTCGCGACTATTGCTATATGGATAATATTAAATTCTTAAACTATTTTAACTTGACTTCTTTTTTTTATTTTATATAATAATTTTATAGTATTTCCTTGAACAACCGTTAAAATTACGTGATAATGCAGGTGCCCTTTGGACGGCGAGATAATGGGCCAGTTCCAGTACTCGCGCGAGCGTCAGGAGGCGCGCGTGTCGTTCCCGGCGCACAAGTTCCCCTACACGGCCAGTGTGTACTACACCTGCGAGGTCAAGCTTTGCGACCTCAACCACCCGACAGACTGCGTGAGTATATTCCATTATGTAATTAATAGAATCAGGCGTTACTTTGCGGAAATTCATTATATTAAAAACTGTTCGCCGCAAATTCGCCCGCGTGGAATTTATTACGATTGGATTTCATGGGTTTTAATTTTTTTTGTGCGAAAACCTAATTCTTTTTGTACAATGAAGGTAATAGTAATAATAAAAGTAGCCCAAGCTACTCCTTATATCATGATCTATCTGCCAGAGAAATTCCCGTCAAAATCGGTCCAGCCGTTTCGAAGATTAGCCGGAACAAACAGACAAAAAAATTTAAAATTGTTTTTTTTTTGTTATTAGTACCGTACATGCTTTCATATGCATTTAGTAAAAAATCTGTTATTTAGACATTTTTTTTTATAGATTAAGGGTGACAATCGAGCACACAGTCCAGCTGATGGTAAGTGCTGTGGCCCTTAGACATCTACATTTATCCTCAATTAAGAATCAAAAAGCAGAAGCGCCACCACCCCTGAGGACTGAGATGGAATGCCTCGGTTCCAGTAAAAAGGGTATCCGGTTCTCTACACTCACCATACGAAACACAGCAGCATTGAGCCGCTATTTTACGCTGGTATTCTGTGAGAGCGTGGTCCCATCCCGGTCGAGGCGACCCATTGGTGATGCAACCACAATATAGCTCCAGCATGGCTCTACCACGTAAAAAAAACATTACAAGCAGACACTTCAATTTTATTTATTTGTATAGATGAATATACATTAGATACCTAAGATCGACGTAATATTTTATGACGCGGATCTTCTCTACATACTACAAAACAAAATCGCTTTCCGCAGTCTGTACGCGTACGTCTCTTTAAACTACGCAAAGGATTTCAATGCGGTTTTCATCAGTAGACAGAAAAATTCAAGAAAAAGGCTTATATGTATAATACATGCATATTGTATTTTATATAATTCTTCTGTACGTGTATAAGTGAATGAACTCTTCCTAAACGGCTACACCGATTTTGTTTGTGAAATTTTGTGCGTGATTAAGTTGATTAGAGGATGATTTAGTTTCACAATTGGTGAATATTAGGCGACGTTGTTGTCGAGATTCAGAAATCAACCGTGCGAAAGTGGGGCGGAGCGCTAGTAGATAATATTTAACACCTTTTCTATTTAGTATATCCACTGCCACATATCGTCGCGTACACCATATCGTATAAATGTCTATTTGACTGTGAGAAATTATCATCAGTGACGTCATTAACTGGTGTGCTCATACTATTTCTAGTAGCAAAGTTCCAATTCGACATTTCATTCAAAGTATTTCAGTTCACATGCGTGTAAAGTACCTAGGTATATATAAAAATAGGTATATATAAGTATTTAGGTATATCACTATTCTGCTTCCGTGGTGGTAATATTGGGTTAAGGCGATGATGTGTTGACCATGTAGTGGCGGTGTAAAAATATCCAATATGGACAATATTGGACGTCGTAAAAGGCGACCGAGATTGACCATCTCTGGTACCAGGAGATGGGCATGAGACGCTGAGATGAGATGACTTTTATAGACTGTAATATATGTTATTTTATTTATTTATTTATTTCATAGACAGTAGGAAGTATAACAATTAATAAGGTGTAAACATAAACTCTTTTGAGTTTTACCGTACACCCCACGCCGTCGAAATACAACAATAAAGATTAAAACTATTTATAACAAATATTTGCTACACACTTCATACATACATATTTAAGAAACAATCATAAGACAACCATACATTTTATAAACACCATGCGGGTATATCACATAAAAAATTTATGTAAAAACCTTTTGTGGACGTTCCTATGCAGCATTGTCTTCATTTATTGATACTTTTTTATTCTACAGGATGTTTTTTAGCATTACGGTTTTAATTGTGTATTATTGTGTATGTATATGTATATACATATACATATACATACACATACACACACATATATACATATACATACATATACACATAATATGTGTTAATGTGATCGAAGCTCTTGGTTATAACATCCCGAGAAACAACATTTATTTTACTGAAGTTTATACCCGATAAAGGAGGAGGTTCACAATTCGACTAAATGATTTTTGTATGCATGTTAAGCGATATCTTCGTTCTGAAACGATTTTATGATTCTTTTGCATTAAATAGTTTATACTTTAGGGGTGATTGTATATAAATTTGGGAATAATTCTATACCTAAGTTTTGGCAAAAGCGGATAATTTTTTTTATGTGAGTATTTGTGCGGTTGTGATAATGCTTTGTTTGTTTGTTTTTACTAATTAGTAGTTAATTTTTAAACACTTTCGAGTGGCACAAAGGTCACATTTAATAAAAATAGAAAAGCCGAATTCATAGAACAAAAAAGAATAGAATAATATTCACGTAAAAGCTTCCGAAGTCAGGGCTTCAATTATTCTTCTATACACTGCCTCAGCACCGACTTCAGAACCTGAATGTGGAAATTCTTTTTTGTTATTTGATTAGCTGCAAGAACCGACGAAAGAATAGGGCTACTAACGAGGTATTTATATACCTGGTAGAGCCATGCTGCAGCTATATTAGTAGTATAGTTGTAGCACGAATGGGTCGGCTCGACCGGGGAAGGACCACGCTCTCACAGAATACCGGCGTAAAACAGCAGCTTAACACTGCTGTGTTTCGTATGGTGAGTGTAGAGAACCGGAAACCCTTTTTACTGGAAAAGAGGCATTCTATCTTTGTCCTCACGGGTGAAAACGCATCCGCATTTTGAGTCTTTATTGAGGATATATGTAGATGTCTATGGATCATAGCAACCACCTACTGTGTGCTCGTTTGTCACCCTATCCTATATAAAAAAAGAAAGGTTGCGAGAGACAACCTCATACCGGCAAAGGAATTGAAAAGCAGCGCCCACTAGACGACTTGGCAAGGGATGCAGGAAGTCGATGGATCAGATAGTTCAGGACCGCGCTTTGCAGGATGATAATGCAGATGATGATGATGAGTTCTTTGAAGAAGGCTTTTCCTGTTTATTAAAAAGTTCGTTTCAATACTTCAAATTACACAAAGAAACAGGAATTATTTTTTATAATATAGGCCTATTATGTGTAACATATTGTTTCGTATGGTGAGTGTAGAGAAGCGGAGACCCTTTTTACTGGAAAAGAGGCATTCTATCTTAGCCCTCAGGGGTAGCAACACATCTGCATTTTGATTCTAAATCGAGAATAGATGTAGATGTATTGACCACAGCATCCACTTACCATCAGGTGGACTGTGTGGTCGTTAGTATACCTTTTCTATAAAAAAAAGAAAACGCTGGGGATGCTCACCCATCCCAAGTAAGTACCTTAGTACGAGTTTGTTTTAGATTTATATTAATAACTTTGTGCAACAAATCGACCTCCTGATCGATTTTATTTTACGATTTTCTATGACTTCCAATTTGCAAAATAAATATCCATTTTTATATTCCTGTAGAATATTGAGACTTGTCTCTCTACGTCTGTGCTCAAGAGAGCTGCTGACAAGATTGGTTTCAATCAAGTTAAGGTCAAAGTTCAACGAGGACGAAATTTGTAGCGTCAGTCAATCTAAACCAACATAAAATTTATTAAAATGTATTAAAAAAAGATAAAACCGTTCTGTATTCAATTTTAATTTATTTTATTCAATTTTACATAAAATAAATTTGTTGCAGCAACCGTGTGCACACAAAAAAGGCAACCGTCTACGTCGGCAGTCGGATGATGGGGAGCCCGCCACAGTGGAGGTTTTCTCTGGCCTCTATGTGAATGAACTTGACTCGCCCGAAAACGATGATGTCATCAGCGAGAAGGTAAAACGCAGTAAAATTGAATTACAGCCCACGTACGTGCTAGGCATAGGCTTCTCATCTTTAAGAGTTTTTAGCGTTTAAAAGTTAAGAAGTGATCGATAAACTACTCAATTTATCATTCTGGAAATTAGTTTACTTTCTCAGATATGCGAATTCAGTTAGGTTGTTTTTATTTAACGCTACTATGCCTAGTGGTCGTAAGCGCAACTACTGATCATTTTGTCCCGGGTTCAAATTCCGAAACGGGCTAAAATCAGATGTTGGGTTATTTTGTCAAGAATTTACACGGAGTTAGGCAGTTGTCGGTGTTTCACCATAGTGCCTTTGAAATTTAAAGCCGTTAAACCCCGTTATTTCTAGAACCAAACTAGGTATGTCCGTGTTACAGACAAGGGTGGCATGGAGTTAGTTATTATAATAAAATTTATTAAAATATCAAGTACATCAAAATCAATATTGCATTGTTCACGCCACTTCGATTAACTGTGCTGAGTTAAATCAAAATTTCAGGGGAGATAGCTATATATAGTTAGATCGGAGTCTACTACACCGTCCAAAGATATGAGGATCACGATAAACTCTGCCCCGATTATATTTAAACATGAATATAATTTTTCATAACTGACTAGAAATTATTATTCATTTACAGAAAGAAGACGAAATCTGCATATCACAACGCATCTTTGCGATAGCTATCTGCATCGCTGGCGTTATCCTCATGATATGCGTCATTGCGGCCATAGCGTTCATACTCGCGCGCAGACGAAACCCGAAGACGTACTCGCGTACAGGCAGCTCACTGTACAGCGGACCCTACACTAACACCGGCTACTCGCATACGAGTTAGTTAGTTTAGTCATTCTTACCTAATATTCGCCAATCCATCGAATTAAATGTATTTTGGTGTGATATTTTTCGATTCTCTTCAAATCATATCAAAATTCGACTTCTTTATCGCTGTAGAAATCGATATTTACATATCGCTGCATATAAATCTGGGAAGAGAAAATCAAAATTGTTTTTTAAGGATTTTATCACTTTAAATCATTTTGATTTGGACCATTCTACAGTTTACTCTGTCCTAGTCTAGTGATTAAAAAAAAAGAAAAATGTTATTGCTATATCGCTGCCATAAACAGCTGTGTAAACCATTATTTGTCGTGTAGACTGAATATCAACTAAACGCCAATATAAAAGATACGTGGGTAGAAAAAAGCGGTTAGTGAGTTTTCTTCTATGTGCTACGAGAATGCAGTTTGAGAATTACAATTTTAAAATTTATAAAATTGTTGTGTTCAAAAACAACAACGATTCAGTCATATTATGTTAAGTTCTTTAGTGATTTACCAATAGTGTTTAATTAAGGCTTAATACCAGGGTAAATATACCTGAAATATAATATTTATGATATTGTGATAATGGTGAATTGCGTATGTATCCGTCCTCATCAGACTATTTTATTTAGTTATTTTTAAACGATATTTAAAGGTTGCCTTACATTACGTAATAAAATTAATACTATTACTTCGACAATTGTTCTAAATCTCTTTACTATTCATATAATAAGGGCATTATTAAAAACGGTTGCCCAAGGCATTGAGTTATATGTACTACGTACGTAGTACATATAACTCAATGGCCCAAGGCAAGTACTGTTCCATACTAACGACATAAACAGAAACAACATTGTGTATCACAAAATGTAGCCATGTCCCTTGTAATAAAATCAACTTTCATAACAATGTATTTATATCTGAGTTAATTTTAATTTTCTGTTTATTTGTCGTTTATAGGGTTTGAGATTTCATAAACTTTTGAGATTTCATTTGCACGGTGGCGGGAACTAGTTTCTTTTAAACGGTTAACGGTCACTTCACAGTATATAAATACCATAGTGTTAATCACAAAATATTACTTTTTTCCTGATACCTAGTTCACATAATATAGGTAACGATATTCGTGATTAGGTATTTCATTCACAGAAAGATATCTTAGCAGATAATTAAAAATATTTTTTAAAGTAGAATGAATAATATTATTGGCATAATTTTAAAAATTATGTGGGGTAAGCATTATCCCATAATTTTAAAAATACTATGTATTAAACTTGACTATGGATGCCATATTTTAAGCTATATTTTATATAAGGATATATTTTGGTGTACTGCCAGTAATCCGTCCAATATCGGTGCTATAATATATCTGGGCTTATTTTAGGTTACTTTTATTTCCCTTACATTCCTGTAATATGTAACAACGAATACCGATATTTGTTTCATATTTACCCCATTGTTATTTTTCGTTTAGTTTGACTAACTTCATTTTTACTAGGTTTTTAATACAATGGGGTTCTGGAACGATATCGAATGTTTATAAACACTGTACGAATTTTTTAACAAATAAACTGACTTCGACAATCATTTGTTTTATTTCGCATCGCAACGCTAACTAATAAAAATTTAAAAAGGTTGGGTTTATACTTCATTGATAAAATGTTTCGCTGTACCAACACTTCGCAATCAGATCTCAGCTTTATTTCCTGCGTATTTAATAGCTTCTCATTAATAATTAGAACTTGATTCCGGATTGGAAATTGAAGGAGAAATCAGGTGAGCATCGACTTTACCTTTACGGCAATAGAACATAAACGCAATTAGCCAATCACAAGTCTACTACTGAACATAGGCGTCCCTCATAGACTGCCTCATAGGGTTGATATTTGCCATAGTTGCCACGCTTAGGAGGCGGGTGGGCAACCGCAGTTTTTTTTATTTTTTGTTGTTATTAGGAAGTTGCTGCAATACTTATGTGATATACTAAATACGTATGAAATGTCGAAATGAAACTGCTATAGAAAATTTTATGAGAACAGTTAATTTCGTCATTGTCGATCATTTTCACAGTCAAATAGATATCTTATTTATATACCTATGTCTTAAGTATTAAATATAAATTGTGTACCATGGATTGCTGCCGCCCAGGGCCTCCAGAGCAAAATGCCCCCCCCCCCCCCCCTCTTGTCATTTTCTCAACTATCTAATAAAATTATATATCTATAAATAAATATATAATAAAATTTAACTCGAATAAAACCAGAGATTTAAATATATAGGTATACTAACTACTCTAATCTAAAATTTACAGATTATTCGGTAAATACATGTTGTATTTACGATAATAAACCGAAATTACGTTAATTTTTTGCTCCATATCATAAAAATATTTTTAAATATATGAAACGAATGCGTCTTGACTTTTTGACGATGTCACTAAGACTAAATGACAAAAATCGGAGATATATCCTATAGGAAATAAGTTACAGACAAAGAGATTTAAATATATAGGTATACTATCTCCTACTTAAATGTCTTTTTTGCTACTGATGTCCGGTCTATTACTACTATTACTTAAATGTCTTTGAATAAAACAATATGATGTATTCTACAGTAAAGCGTGTATTCTACAGTAAAAAATGTAATGTCCTCACGACGCTCGAGTAAAGCCCCATTTAGCATCATGTGGGCTCCTCTAGTACAGATACAGATATCGTATCTGCGTAGTGTGCTACTTTCAAATAAATAAGTTTTTATACGCAAATAAAATATTACCGTATCTGCGTAATGTGACACGCTTAATAACTAATTTAGTAAGGACTTTACTGAAATCATTTAAAAGTTAAGTAAAAGAGCGGACTTCCCTTTCCAAAAATGCCGCTACATAAAATCTACCGCCCAGACATTTGACCTATTTAACGCTCATATTCTGTGAGAGCGTGGTCCTTTCCTGGTCAACCATAATATAGTTGCAGCACGGCTCTACCACGTACCAAGTTGCTTCCTTTTAGTTAATACGACATCAATCTAATACCAAAGTCCGGCACTAGGGTGTTTTCGGAGACACGCATCAATTGCTTGTCCTTGAAATGTGTATTAGTGACACGTAGTATCTTTCTAATAACAACTCAAAACTGTTCTCTCCTGACAAAGACATTTGGCGGCGATTTCGGTTTCCATTATACAGAAACCGGAGAGCTGCATGACAAATATAAGCCAACTGCAACCTTTGCTTGACGCCAAACGTCAAGCCTCTTTAAGCTATCGTATTTATCATTGCAATTAGACTGCTGCCTCGTGGAAAGTTTTCGAAATGATTTAAGACTTTAAGTGTTAGTAAACTTTAAAAATAACCAGCAGTATACGTCGAAGTTAATTAAATAAAACAAAATATATTTTGAAATTCTGTAATCTTATAACTAAACAGTTAAATACTAAACACTGAGAAAGGCACAAAATAAGGAATAAAGAATTGACGATTAAAATTATTCATTCAATTTCACTGTCATGAAATAATATCAGTTCTACAAAAGGCAAGAAAGACCAACAATGGAAATAAGTCAATTTCATCCAACCAACTTTTCTTTTTCTTCTTAATTTTTTTTGTATAAATATATTATGTAAATAAGTACAAAAATAAGTAAAATAATATTGCAACTTATTTATATAATGTTTGTAATTTAATAATTCACGTAGATGTTACCTATAGTTTGATCTAAAGTAATAAAGGTTAACATTAATGAGCGAAAACTTGACTACATTTAGATCTACAATCTCAAAACAGAACATTCAAAATCAAGAACAATACGAATAATAATAGATAACCTAATATTGTAATCTCTCTAGTAAAATAAATTTAAAGATAAAAGTGTACATGCCAGTGTATTGACCAAAAATCACAAAATGTAATATATATTTTTGGATTAAGAAAAACAAATGATATCTATGAAGTTTAAAGCAGATATAGTTAAATGAATAGTTAAAAAAATTAATAAAAAAACGGATGAATAGAAAAAAGGTGCAGAAGACTTCCAAAATAGAGCACAACTGACGCTCCTTAGTGTTAGCCGTACACTGTATGAACATAGCAAATTTCAGTATTTAATATAACAAATTTTGAAAATAAAACTATTTGCTAAGCCTTGCAAGACTCAGCACGATTTTAAAATCTTTTTGCATTTACCAATTTTTTTAATATTAAAAAATTTATTTATTATATAAAATTAAAATAAATAATAAAGTTAAAATTCATACCTTAATTACACAGCAATTTTACTAAGTTTAAAACGTACTCTAATAAGTCAAGACAAATATAATTTACTAAATGCGTTCTTTTAATTGATATTCAATAATAATAAACACATGATAATATAAAACAGACCGGACAAAATTTTCAACCAAATTTAAGGTTCAATTTACAGTGACGTAGAGTCAAAGCGACTTTCTTGAATGTTTTATAGTACCGTGAAACCTGGCAACTTTGCCATTTTTGGTATATTAAAAGTTTAGGACCAATTTTCCAACAAAAAATGTACTGTCAGAGTGGGCGTGATTTTTAAGTGTCACATTATATTCTTCACAGATTTGATATTTATTAGTGTAAACAAATACTAACATTAAATAGACAAAATACACAAAAATAGAAAATGGCAGTTAACCTCACTTTTGGCAACTTTGTCATCAGGATTTATAAAGAAAATAATAATAAGAAAATAAGGTTGAAAGTAAATTTATCTCATAATATAATACACAACACTCAGATCTATGACTTGCTTCTTTAATTATGTTATAAATAGCAAAGTTTATTCTTGTGGCAAAGTTGCCCTCCCATTTTTCAATATTTCATACAAACTTGAAAATATATATTGAAATATATTGTCAGGGTTGTCAAAATCCAACTTAACTTATTTTTTATTTTAATCTTGTCACATTAATTTCTTAAACATAAATCTAAAATATTATGTCAAACAAAAATACCCTCGTTTAAAATTAAATCAATCTAAATATTGTTTTCCCACAACAGCAAAACGTTAATAATCATTAAAAATGACAATTAATGTTTTGTTTCATATCAATACACTAAGTTGAAATTATGAAAAATACTGAGTAGTAATAATATTATTAATGCCTAACAATGCAGTAAAAATAATATTATAGATTTTTCTTTTCTTTTCCTTCACTTTTACTAAAGATGAATTGATTGACGACTCATTTGGTAAAATCGGTCTAACGGGCTGCTACGGTGAAACGTCCATAAAAACATACATACATACATAGAATGTCAAGTGTATAACAGTTTGTTTTATTAGTTGTAATCGGTTAAATCTATAGGTTGAAAGTGACAACCCTTGTTTGTAGCAAAACATGGCAAAGTAACCGTCACATCGTGGCATCACTACTATGGTAACTTTGCCAAGTTAGTTTTATAGATAAATGTTAAGACCAACACGTTAAAAACTATATATTACATTTAATAACCATTAATATTACGTTACTACAAAAATATAGATACCTGCATTCAGTAATTCAAACAAAAATAAACTAAAGTTCTGGAGCACTGAAAAAGAGGTTATTTCGCCGGCACAATTCCGCGATAAAATAAAATGCCAAAATTAACTCTCATGTCGCCATATCGAAAGCAATGTTGTCAATTAGTTATTGTATTTTTATCCAAAAAATGGAAAAACGTTACGTTTTCGTGTAAATCGTAATTTTGTACCAGTACACCCCTTATGGCAAAGTTACCTTCCATTGGTAAAATTGCCGGACTTGACTGTATATATTTTTAGCTTCAATAAGAAATATATAAATATGTATAGAGTAGACAACACTAGTGACGCGGGTATTCGGTTGCATGTTGCATAGGTACGAATAAACGTGCGAATTCACTTGCGACTATACATATCGTCGGAAATAATATGACCCTTCATTTCGACTCAACTCGACGCTGTGTCAATGTGAATTGAACCTTACGTTCATGTGATGACGACTTAACTCATTTCTCAATATTCAGTACATAGCTGCAGGCCTGCAGGTACTTAAAATGTGTGATGTTAACATAAAGGAAAGTTATCATAAAATATTTTTGAATAAATATATCAACAGTTGTTCTGAATACTAGCATTGCAGGTAAGCAAAGCACTTGTTTGCTAAATTATATTCTACTAAATTACTAATAAACAGTATAAAAACTGTGCACTTAGGGGCTAAAATGTCAGTCTTAATCTAATAATTCTATAAAAGTAAAATGATTTGCAAGAAAATCGATTTATAATTGTCAAATAGATATTGTGATAATACGTCACATTTAAATTTCATTAAAGAAAAGAAATGAAAACTACTAGTTTTACCAACATATTACGAACTATTCTTCTTTTATGGCTCAAATTTCATAATGCAAACTTTAAGTAAATTATTTATACTTACTATCTAAATTGATTGCATGCATAAAGTACACAAAATATTCTAACAAGGTCATATAAGCCACACCACTAAGTCTTTATATAAGCTTTCCTTCAGTCATTTTCTGGTATTTCTCCAGCCTCCAGAGCAAGATAGCCTCGACGGTTCTCATAATCACTGGGATCTAATTACAAACTTCTGTTTTCTCATCTTAGCCTTTATTTCAATTTTAGTCTTGAAGACTCCACTTTCTATCTAGTGAATACATATAAAAAAGTTTAGTATTTATATCCAACAAACGCATGAAAGTTATTAAAAAACAATAAAAATGAATACCGTGTGGTGGCGACATTAGGGAATCCATAACCACATTTCGCCCTGCAGGTGTCGTAAAATGCAAATATAGGATATACTAGAAAGATCTCATGACTTCAGATAGATAGCGGTGAAACCATATTGTTATGCCAAAAATAAAATAACCAGACCGGTGATGGGGAGCAGCGTCAACGGTGTAAGTCGTCTGATTTTGTGATCTCCAATCTGCCTGCCAACGGTGGCGTTTAAGACAAATCATCCCTACAACGGAAAAGACGCCACCTCATCCGTGGACTTTAAAGGTTGGTTAAGAAGAAGATACAATGAACAAGAAGGTTCAGTTTAATATTAGATCCAAGGCTGGATGTTTTTGAGCAATTTTGAGACTTTTATTATTTAGAGATAAAGTTTTTTGATATTTATTTTTTTTATAGAATAAGGGTGACAAACGAGCACACAGTCCACCTGATGGTAAGCGGTTGCTGTGGCCCATAGACATCTACATTTATCCTCGATTATGAATCAAAATGCAGATGCGTTGTCAGTCACCCGTGAGGACTAAGATCGAATGCCTCGTTTCCAGTAAAAAGGGTCTCCGGTTCTCCACACTCACCATACGAAACACAGCAGCATTAAGCTGCTAATTTACGCTGGTATTCTGTGAGAGCGTGGTCCTTCCCCGGTCGAGCCGACCCATTCGTGTTACAACTATTCCAGAAATATAGCTGCAGCATAAAAAGCCTATAAAAAAATAAGTATAACATTTTAAATGGATAAAGTTTTTTGATATTATTATTTTGTTTTCTTTTTTATTACTATGAAATCAATGGGGTTAACTTGGAGTAATCTCAAACTCTATAGTAAATTGTAGACTGAGGATAACCATGAACATGATAAAGATAACACGAAGCTTAAACATAAAAAACATCATTGTAAGCTTCACAACTCATTATACTATATAGATATAAATATGTTAATTTATTTCCTAAAAGCAGTAAATAAGCCATAATTCTGGAAAATCTGGAATGTCACAGTTAATTTGGAATATACCTTTATAAGTAGTCCCATCATCTCCTACAATATTATTCACAGCAATTCAGTAAGGCAACGCGTCATCCATCTGCACAGTCATCAGGGAATCCTCCGGGTGTATTTCCAGCAGAGCTTCGGTACCATCATTGAAAGGAAAAGATACGCTGCCATCAACAACCAATCCTGTTGAATAAAATCACTTTTACATAAGCTCTTTTAATCACAGAATAGTGGGAATCGAAAATGTTTCCAAGCAGTGTTAACTGTATCGTGTGCCGTTGGGATTTTCATCAAACAATAAAATTTTTTTTTAGTGGTAGAGCCACGCGGCAGCTTTTGCTGACGCACGGATGGGCCGGCCCGAACCGGGGTAGTACCACGACCTCACAGAAAACCAGCGTGAAGTAGAGGTTTACCTCTGCGTTTCGCTTGGTGAGTGCAGGTGGCCGGAGGCCCTTTTTACTGGAAATGAGACATTCCATCTTAGTCCTCACGGGTGACAACGCATCTACATTTTGATTTCTAATAGAGGATAGAAGTAGATGTCTATGGGCCGCAGCAACCATTTACCATCAGGTGGACTGTGTGCTCGTTTGTCACCCTTATCCTATAAAAAAAAACATACCCGACTTTTAACTACCAGTCCGACTTTTCTGTTCGTAATGATACTTTAAGAAAAAAAGAGGAAAGGAAAGCATAAAGCACTGGGATTATATTAGTCTGAAGTACCAAAAAAAACAAGAGGAATCGCCTATCAGAAAAGTAATAAGACCTTCACTTTTTACTGTATTATAATTAGTAGTGAACCGTGTAGTGGCTGTGTAATAATATCTACTGCCCTATATCGTCCCGTGGGTGACGCAAGAGGCGACAGAGGGAGACTAAAGCAGGGGATGGGCAACAGCTACTGCCTGATAACAGATGTGAATATATAAAACTGCGGTTGCCAACATAGCTATGAGACAGTCTATGAGGGAGGCCTACGTTCATCAGTGGACTTTTTTAATTCATTTAATTTGTGTATATTCTTATAAGGTGTAACAGATGTGAATATATAAAACTGCGGTTGCCAACATAGCTATGAGACAGTCTATGAGGGAGGCCTACGTTCATCAGTGGACTTTTTTAATTCATTTAATTTGTGTATATTCTTATAAGGTGTATAATAATATATACAAATGGCGTACATAATGCCTTATGGCATTCTCTACCAGTCAACACTGGCTTGTAAATAGAGCTCCGATGTAGTGATCTGCAAAAAATTTTAAAGTATCAAATACCAAGTATTATGTCGAAAGTTGGAATAGCGATAAAAGTATCGTATTATGTGTGTAGTACCTACGAAGTATTGTAATAAAAAGCAATGAGTACTCAAATATTCGATACCCATGTAACGAAGGTATCGATACTACAGGTTTCGATACTTTTTGTAGATCACTATTTCGGTGGGCTGTGATCAAAGATTTTTATGTATACTAATAGGCGAACTCTGCGGCCTAGTTATTTGTTTTGTGGAACGTTATTTTGAACAATATAACACTTAATGTTACTAAAAAACACTATTATAGTTAGTTATTAGTCATTATTTATGTGCGCACTGTTATTTCATATAAGTATGTAACTTTATTTCGTATTTACCTAAAAACAGCAACTGTCATAAATGAAAATACAACTTCGTGGCATATTTACCGTACCAGTTATTTTATATTAAATAGATTAATAATGGACAAACCAAACTAGGGATATCCCCAGAAGTAAAAAGAATAATAAAATACATCACTGAGGTATGGTTTTGTGGAGACAGTAGATACTTTTTTATGATGATGGTGCGTGCGTGCTTGCATGCGTACGTGTGTGTGTATATGTGTGCGTGTGTGCGTGTGTGCGCGCGTGGGTGTGTGCGTGTGTATGCGCGATGCGACTGACCAGCGTCGGTGCAGTGCGAGCGCACGCGCACGGATGCGGCGCGGTCGCGCACGCGCAGGCCGCGCGGCGCCGGCCACTCCTCGAACGTGATGTACTCGCGCACCGAATACGCCAGCTGCTCGCACTCTGCGGACAAACCACCTCGCCACCTAAAGTCAAACTTTTCACTTCTGTTTAGAAATTATTTTATACATGGTAGAGCCATGCTGCAGCTATATCATGATTTTAGCCAGAATGAGTCGGCTCGACTGGTATAGAACCACACTTACACAGAATGTTAGCGTAAAATAGCAACTTAATGCTGCTGTGTTTTGTATGGTGAGTATACACAGGCAGTGACCCTTTTAAATAGAAATGAAGCATTCTATCTTCGTCCTCAGGGTTGACAGCGCATCTGCATTTAAATTCTTAATCGAGGATAGGTGTAGATGTCTATTGGCCACTTACAATCAGGTGGACGTGTGCTCGTTTGCCACCTTTATTATAAAAAAAAGAACTACGCGACACGACAGAAGGAAACAAACCAGGCTATGGTCAGAAACGTCTTCCTAATAACGACAAAAATAAAAAAAACTGCGGTTGCCAACCCGCTTGCCAAGCGTGGGAACTATGGTAAATGTCCCATGTTCAGCAGTGGACTTTAATAGGCTGTAACGTTAACGGTGCGAAATAAGCGTCGAAAACCGAAAGCCATCTTTACTAGTAACGCTGTCCTCAAGAGTGATTTTTCTTCTTATTTTTTTCTTAACCAAGAATAGAGGTTGGTAACTTTCGTCAGGTGGACTGTGGAATCGTATGTCACCCTTAGTTGTAATTTATAGTGTATAAAGAAAATATCTTTTTCGATAGCGGATACGCATGACGCTAATGCGTCACGTTCGATCAAAGTGCGAGTGGAGTGACACCTGCTACTCTGTTAACTCTTCGTCTGCTTACGAGTCCGTCTAGGTAGGAACGAACTCTTACCTAATTCTTTTGCAAAACAGGGGTACAGCCATTGCTACAAACTATTTCATTGCACCAGTAGAAATTTAGTACAATTACAAGCTATGAAGTAATTCAGTTAATTTCTTATAACTGATAACATAATTGCGGTATTTTTGTTTGAAGGTTATAGAGTACGATCGCCATTCATCTTCACTGGACTGGTTAAAATTATTTGTAAACAGCAAATAAATCTTCATTTCTCTCCACTTATATTACGAAACAGTACCATTATGTTGCTTTTTATCGGTGAACTTCTGAGTTTCTCTGATCAAGCCGACCCGTTCATGAGCCACAACCAATGTTCAATAGCAAAGTGACTCTACGATGCATGCGTTTATTATTATATTTACGGCTCGTTACCTAGTGGTTAAGTGTTGCCGAACCGCGAGGGCCGCAGGCAGGTTAGATTTTCACGCGGTACCAGAACCAAAGTAATTTTACAAATAATTATATACTATATATATAGCGTAATTTATGAGATTTTTTGATAGAGATTTTAAAGAAGTTTTAATGTAAAAAAAAATGATCTCAGACAGACAGAAAATATGTTATCGCCTTTCATTTCTTTATTTTTTAATTTTAATACTTACTAATACACTTAGAAACCACTAATAAATTTCAGTATTAATAAATTAAAATCTATAATTATCCAAATTTTAATTATTATATCGTGCTGAACAGTACCTAGTCGCATAACTTTTCGATCAATGGACAAACATTCGCAAAATATCCTAAAAATAACTATAGAATAAATGAACTTTAAAATAAACTCACCCGGGGCGAACATGAGCTTCTGATTGTACCTCTCGGCCACTTCTCGAGCGCGTTCAAGTGTACTTTCCAGTTTCACGTCGAACTCTTCGTTGAGAATTTTCATTAACTCCAGCACCGAGTGGGTTCTTAGGCAGTTTATGCTGTGAAAACCATTTTTGTAAATATATATACAATACAGGATTCTTAAAAGAAAATAACTCAAGAAGTATCTGATTAAAATAATGCAAAATTATCATCTTCAAAAAATCCACTTCGTTTGCCGTAATCGCTATGTTTTTGATTGATGATTAGCGTTCACGTTATTCCATATAAAGCCCGGTTTCCACCGCGAGCGGAACGGACCCATTAATTACTTCTTTTACCTCGCAAAACAAAACTGCATACATGTGTTTCCACCAACAAAGAGTCGAGTGTAAATGACAACGAGGGCGAAAAGAGTAAAAATGAGCTGCGGACTCGCGCCGGAGTCATTAATGAGTCCTTTCAACTCGCAATTGAATTTTACAAAGTAGTGTTTCCACCGAAAAAGAGTTGAGCGGAGCGGACCAAACGAGTAACATGTGTCCGCTGCGTCGCGGTCTCGCCGACTAGTTTGAAACGGACTCGCTCGACGCTGCTGTTTTTAAAATTTAAATTTTAAAATATCGGCCTTTACAAATGACAAAAGTTCTTGAAATTGTTCTCTGCTAACCCTGTAAGTTCTTAAATTTTTCGTCGTCCAAATTATTGAATAGCCTATATTCCCCTTTCAACGTTTTTCTCGAATGTGCCGAAATAACCAAAATCTCCGTTTTGCATGTTTTTTTCTGTGCTTAAGATATAAAAATATAAACTTTTTCTTACGGTATACATAATCACTGTCCTCACTTGATTCCGTGTCACTCAATAACATCGCGAATTCATACAACAAAACAATACCGCACGTAACCAGTTCAAAACTCCAACTGAACTCGCTCTCGGTGGAAATTGACTATTCATTTCCCATTTCTCATATTCCGTTCAGCTCGCTCCGCTGATTCCTCTCTGTCGTTATCCGTTTGCAGTGGAAATCAACAGGCAAAACTCTTTGTTGGTGGGAATGCAAACCTGTTTTGTTTAAAAGGAGTCCGTTCCGCTTACCATTTCCCGCTTATTGCCCTTCCGCGGTGAAAGCCGGGCTTTATGGCGGCCATTATGTATTTAGATGAGATATAATTTTGTACAACCGACTTCAATTCAATATAAATTATTAAGCATAACTCATAAAATATTGTTCAGGCCTTGATCAAATTTATATGGGACCATATGAGAAGCATGAGATTTCAATTAAAAAAAGAATCATCGACATCGGTTCACCCAGAAAAAAGTTATGAGGTGACACACATGAAAAAAAAACAGTCGAATTGAGTATCTCCTCCTTTTTGAAGTCGGTAGATAAAATACCCAGATATGCGACGGGGAAAAGCGTCAAAGATGCTTTATGAAATTAAAATTATTTGGGTTTTGGTTGGGCCTTAAGATATTTCTCACATTTCCCCACATTCGCCCGCTGCGATATCCCGGGAAAAATTCAAAAAAATAGGGATTGTTTTTTTTAATAACATTATAGTGTAAAAATTAGATTATGACAAAAGTAACAAAAAGTATTTAGTTATTGCAAATTCCAAAAGACATTTTCTGGAATGCAATAGTACTAATATTTCAATGCAGGAGTAAATAAACATATACTTAGTAATACAACATATATAATAAAAGCAACATGTGTATATAAAAGCAATGTCCGGATAAAAAAAATAGTAAGAATTATGTATATTAACATATACATTGTTGTGTTTCCTTTATGTATGCAATGTTATTTACGTTTCAAAGTTTAACGACAATTTAAATTATTTAAATATATTATGAGAACAGTACCTGAAATGCCATGAAGTACTCCCCGTGCCTGTAGTAACACACAGACCGGAGCTTTTCGTGTGTGTCCATTGTCCGTTGTCTATTTGTAGCCGTAAAAGGGAAACACGAGACGTCACACTCTCGCCTATGAACACCTGTGTAAGCCAGAAAGAGATGTCCATACATAAATAAACATATTTTAACAACAACTCGATCAATAAATTTACATTCAAAATCTATACAAATAAATAAAATTGAAGTGTCCGTTTGTAATGTCAAAATAACAGCTTTTTACTAAATGCATATAAAAGTATTTACGGTACTTATAATAAAAAAAATCAATTTTTAACATTTTTGTCTATCTGTCTATCTCTCAGTCTGTTCGTTCCGGCTAATCTCCGAAACGGCTGGACCGATTTTGACAGGCTTTTCAATGGCTGATAACTGATGTTATAGGGAGTAACTTAGGATACTTTTATTTTAGTAAAATAATTATAGGGTACCGCGCAAAAAATTAAAACCCATGAAATCCAATCGTAACAAATTACACGCGGGCGAAGTCGTGGGGAACAGATGATGTAATAATAAATGAACAGTTTTGTAGACAGCGATTTCAACATGTATCCAAAAAAACTATTAGAAAAAGGTATGCGTATTTTTATGTACAATAGAACGTTTTAAATTTTAATATAGTGCCGTGTAGTGATGGGGTAACATAATCTAATACCCCATATATCATCCCGTGAATGTAGTAGGAGGCGACAGAAGGAAACTGAAATAGAAGATGGACAGTAGCATATACCTGATCAATCAATAATAATAAAAAATCCGGTTACGAAACCGCTTATCAAGCATGGCAAATATGGCATAGCACCGTCAAATGCGTATGCATGGACTTTTGAAGAGGAATAATGAATGAATGAATTAATGAAAAGTTAACTCACCTCGTTTAGAGCTAAGAAGGGCAAAACTTTCGTAGACAAAGAGGTGTTTCCACTACTGTTGAATTCCTGGTCCTTTGATTGCGAATCTTGAGATTCATGTATATTTGACATGGGAGGATACCTTCAAAGACCAGAAAAATATACAATTTGAAAAATAGTAAAAACGAAAATGGTATGATCGATAATCTAATTATAAACGTGGTAGAGCTATGCTGCAGCTATATTAGTAGTATCAGGTCGGCTCGACCGGGGAAGGACCACGCTCTCAGCGTGCCCCAGAGTACCAGCGTAAAATAACAGTTAACACTGCTGTGTTTCGTATGGTGAGTGTATAGAACCGGAAACCCTTTTTACTGGAAAACAGGCACTCCATCTTAGTCCTCATGGGTGACAACGTATCTGCATTTTGATTCGCAAACGAAGATAGATGTCTATGAGCCACAGCAACCACTTACCATCATTGTAATTTTAACCGCTGATTTACCACATGCTCGGTGGTGAAAAACAACGCTGATCCAAAACCCTCCCACAGATGAGAGAAGGCCTACATATATATATATATATATATATATATATATATATATATATATATATATATATATATATATATATGTATGTACAGACTGTATTTATTTCTGAAGACAGAATTAAATCACTTTAAGTCGAGACGCATTGGTTGTTTAAAATATTTTATACCTATTTTGCAAATTTATATATGGGAAAGAAACAGATTACGTACGTAGTAGTGAAAGTTAAGTATTAAAAGAATACGCAGTTTTGGAATAAGATAAAAATAAAATTCATTTTTATTAAGAATCCCACACAAATACACTGAATTACTTTTTACCGTAAGGAAAAAAATAGGGTGTAATAGGTGAACGAAGTAGAAAGTCACAGAATACTATAATACACAATAGAATGGCTGTCAACCTTACTTTGTACGAGAACCAGTTTTGCCGAGAGCACACATACAAGCGGTTACGTCGTATTATCACTACTAGAAACCCAATTCGCTCATTAGTTATACGAATTTCAATAAATAAATGTTACAAACGCATTTTAACATTACATAAAATCAAACTTGATTGCAAGGCAATAACAACACATCATAAGGAATCTTACAGATCGTCTCATTCTGAAAAGAAAGAGAAGGAATAACTGTGTTGACAGACCGAACAAATTTGCACATTTTAGACTTTTGATCAATGTTTACGATCATCAAAAAAAAAGAAATCGTTTAAATTTTAAAACATATTTATTTGTAAATATTGTGCAAACTAATTGCTAATACAATGGTAAGTATTATTTTGGTCTTATTGTAAAAAAAAAACCGGCCAAGTGCGAGTCGGACTAGCGCACTGAGGGTTCCGAACAAATCCGTAGGTATATAAGTTTAAAATTATTAAAAATATTTTTATTATATGATGTAACTAAAAATTTATGCTTTTCGCAATTTTTCCTTTATCTGTGCTATAATACGTTGCTTCGTACCAAATTTTAAGATTCTGAGTTCACGGGAAGTACCCTGTAGGTTTTGATTCCCTTGCGAATGTCGAAAATTTGCGGCATAAACGGCTGTATCTTTTGATTGCGTTGGCTTAGAAGTTTGATTTTTTTCACAGCTCCAAGGGACCGTAGACTTGAGTATTTGATATGAATTTCAGCTTGATACCTCCACGCGTTCCTGAGAAAAGGGTCTTGACAGACAGACGGACAACAAAGTGATCCTATAAGTGATCCGTTTTTTTCCTTTTGAGGTACAGAACCCTAAAAACAAAGTGTTGAACACGTATAAGATGCGTAGCAACATATTAGTATGTGCGTTTAAGCAAATTGTAGTATATAATGGTATCACAACTAGGGATGTAGTCTTGTTTAATTATTTATATGTAACCGGTAACAAAAAATATATTTTGAAATATTTTAATAATATTTACTATTTTACTCGTACGTTTTAAGAGTCGATAGCATCACAACTAGTAAATTTTTCGATAAAAAAATCAAAATTAGGCTTGACATTATACATATAGTCTTATGTATATTTACTAAACATGTTGTCAATTTAAAATTTTACTTCAGTAAATATAAGTCCAAAATATTATCCGCTGCCAAAATGTATTGCAGATAAATAAAAAGAGAGTTGTTCAGAATCATGTATACGACAAATCAACTCTTTTCTATTTTAATTTGAAAATCTGTCCAGCTTTCATGACTAAACTGGTGAACTGATTTTGATCAAATTGAGATAGTTTGATGTCTGATGAAGTTAAAGGGTAAACTATCACAGCTAAGTAGGCTTTACAAATTTGGTCGTTAACTGCAAGCTTGGGGAAAAAATCTATGAAAGGAAATTAAATTCACTCAACCGATTTTGACGATATTTGGGTATTCAGAGAGCTGGAAACATTAAAAAAGCTAGGCTACCTTTTATCCTCAAAATTTAGTATAGAACGCGATATTGAATTCAGTCGTCGTATAATATGACGGTTAGTATTCATATAATTCTTTAAATTAGTATTTCTTTATTATTGGTTGTCTTTAGAATGAGTTGACCTGTTTGCCTACGTTGTTTAACACCCACAAATTGCTATTCGTTGCAACGAATACAAAAGTAACTAAAAATTATTATTGGTCTTATATTATCTTGGTAGTTTCATGTTATACTAACCTTTATAGGAAATTCATCTAGGCCGTAAAAATTAAACACGTCTGCACTCTTGAAACGATCTAGTAGACATTTGCCGAAAAAATAAATCCATAAAATCTATATCTGTAAGGTAATCTATAAATTATATATATATTCATTAAATTACTACTTTTCACTGTCTTTGATCGCATCTATTTAGCTTGTCATTATACCAAGTACAATTTTAAAAGTGACAATATTTCCCGGTTTACTGTAAAATTTCAGCAAAATTTCATTAAAATTTTGTTTTCTCCTGTCGTTTCTTTTAAAAACCACGGGATGATATGAGTATAGCATTTCCTCAAATGTACTGTTTTTTCATTGACATGTTATCGAATTAGTCTATCAATAATAGTAATACAGACATACTGTAGTGTATTTATTAAAACTGAAATTTTTTTTGAAGTTTTAATGTTAATTAATAGCACAAGTTTTAAATTTTGTTATCTTTAAAAAAGATTTTTATCATTTCCAAGTAAGAAAGTTTATTTTAAAAATTGAAAATTATCTAAGCCATGGTAAGCCACCTTGTTCACCTATTACATCATTTTTTTTCTATAAGGGGAATAAAGTCACCAGTTATTTTTCAAAGAGTAGCCAAATTTTAAACTCAAGTTCAAATATATAATTAATGATATACCGTTATTGAAATTTTTGAAAATACGAGTAAATAAGGCTTCTACTTTTATTTCACATTATCTTAATTTGAATATTATTATTGGGCAACAACGATTTTGCCTACCGATCGACCCTTTAATGTGTGCGTGCGCACAAAAATCAGTTAAAATAATGCATAACCCCCCTTTTTAAATTTAAAAGATATAAAGGACGGAATTTTTAAATTTTACTAAATGATTTTTTCTTTGCCATTTTTACTATATTAAACTTCTGAACCTTCTATTGCAAAATAACCCTGTATAATTTTTACAACCGGTTACATCTATTCTTTATCCAAATTAACATAATTATCAATAATACATTCATTGATTTCATCAAGAAAACTAACCTAGAAAAGTGCAATGTGTGAAGATCGACGGGTGTGATGGTGTCAAGGAGCTTCGCCTCGCACGTGACGGTGGTCCGTATCCTGGAACGCCGCATCCATCTGAACCTACCCTAAACACACAACTGGTATATAACACTTGAACAAATTAGAGTAATCCCCCCCCCCCTCACACACACGTACACATGAACTTTTTTTTATAGGATAAGGGTGACAAACGAGCATACAGTCCACCTGTAGCCCATAGACATCTACATCTATCCTCGATTATGAATCAAAATGGAGATACGTTCTCACCCGTGAGGTCTAATATGGAATGCCTCGTTTCCAGTAAAAAAGGGTCTCCGGCTCTCTATACTCAACGTACGACATCACAGCAGCATTAAGCTGCTATTTTACGCTGGTATTTTGTGAGAGCGTGGTCCTTACCCGGTCGAGCCGACCCATACGTGCTACAACTATACTACTAATATAGCTGCAGCATGACTCTACCACGTACTAAATAAAAGTGTATTGAAGAATGAAAGCCCTAACTTCCGAAGCTGTGGAAATTATTCTTTGTTTATCTAGTTCTTTAAAAACGGTTTTTACTTTATTTAAAGGGTTAATTTTTTTGTCCCTTTGGTCTTAAGGACTAAGCAATAACCTCAAGGTAATTCAGCCCATATTTTTCCACTTTTAGGGAATGGACTTTTTACTTCAAATTTAAATTTGGGCAACCTTAAGGCAGCCTATATAATAAAAAAATCATTTTAATCAGTTCGGTTCGCTTAAAAAAACAGGCGAATTCAGGTTGTAACTTCCGACTAAATTTTTAGTACTCTAGGCGAATATTTATGACACTTTAGCCGATTTACAATAAAGTAGTTCTGAATTCAACGTGTGGTGGCGACGTAGGAGAATCCATCACCCCATTTAGCCCCTTGGGTAACATATGAAAATCTATATATGGCAAAGAGGGTTTATGGCTCTCGATGAATGGCGGTCTAAACATCTCGTTCACACCACGCTTAAAATACCCAAACCGTAGACGGGAAGCAGCGGAATGGCTACAAGAAGTCTGGGTACTGCGATCATCAATCTGTCTGCCAAACGTGACGAACATTGCAAATCCTCCCTGAGACGCGAGAGGCCTTCGCCATAATGGATTTTTGGGGCTGTAGATGATGATGATGATGATGATGATGATGATGATGATGATTATGATGGTGATGATGGTGATGAATGGTTGTGGTGGTGGTGACAGTGACGGTGTTGATGATAACGGTGACGATTATGATGATGATGAAAGATAAAATAAATATATTTAATAAACTTATAAACCTTATTAATGTCGAATAACAAGGAGGCAGGCAAAAGGCACTGCTACTACGAGCAGGAATGGAACTCGACACGACCCCTTAACCCTTCCACATTACCCAAAAATAAAAATAATTGAGTATCAAAGTATAAAGCAAATGATATTCGAAAGTACCTCTTTTAAAGCCTGAAGCGCACCTTTTACGTCATTCGAGCACCACGTAGGAAGGCACAGCCGCCCGACAGACTTGTGCGGCGCGCTGTTAAACCCTATAACTGGTTTACTGCAAAGAAAAAATACCGTAACATGGGATGAATAGAAAATGCGGGGGGTAAGTTTAATTACAGTTCGGGAACGTCTGTTTATTACAACTGTTTATTATTTGCCAACATTTTTACTTTATTTTGGTAACCTTTAAATTATTGTCAATTTTGATAATATCTAATTTTGGATGTGGTTCTTGCAATCAGAAGAAAATCCGAGATAGAATACAGATTATATAAGCACCTAATTAACCTTAACCATACCGTATAGACGCTTTGTAAGAATATCCACTACCCTATATCATCCCATGGATGTCGTAAGAGGGGCAGGAGATGTACAGCAGCATCTTACTTATAACGACTAAGTCAAAAATTGCGGTGGCAACTATGGCAAATACCCCTGTGAGGCAATCTATCGGGAAGGTCTGTGTTCAGTATTGGACTTAATTAGGCTGTAACTGTAAGCACCTATCTAATTACAGCAAAATTCTACTAATCGCGATAATAACGCGATAGACCGACTACGAACCTATTACATGAGCTGTGGGTAGACTACGAATGTAAACCGGCCCTACACCATCACAAATTATAGTCAATATACTTAAGCAAACACTGAGAATAAATATGCTAACTCACTTTGCATCTCTGACCCTGGAGGCCGCCAGCAGGAAGGTGCCGTCTCCTCCGCAAGGCACCACCACATCACACCAGTCGATTAATTCATCGTTGTATGTTAACCTGTAAGAAGTAATCAAATTCAGAAATATTAAGTCCATTAGGGTATAAGTGCCATGTAGCGACGGCTTAGGAGTCTACTACCTCTTATCATACCATGGGTGCCGTAAGAGGCGACAGAAGGAAACTAAACAGATGAGCACCAGCAATTTCCTCATAACTTAAAATAATAAAAAAACTGCGGTTGCCAACCAGCCTGGCCGGCGTCGCAAGTATGACAAAATTCCCCCCTATAAGGTAATCTATGGGAGACGCCTGTATTGTGTGGAATTTTGATAAGCTGTAATGAATAAATGTATTTTATTTTAATATTTTACATTAATTCAACAGTGTCGGTTGTTGAGTTCACCACTCTTTTTTCTCATCTTCTTTTTCTCATCAGCCTGTAAGCAGTCCACTGTTGGAAAATGACCTTGACTAAAGCACCATCTCTTTAGAGAAACAAAACGGATAAGTGAAAAGCACTAGAATTCGATTCAATACAAACAATAGTTTGTAAACTCCAAAAGTGCACGCCTCATGAGCGTTTCGTTTAATTAAAAAAAAATGTATACCTAACTTTTAAAATATATTATTTACGTGTTTTAAATTTAGCGCTCTATTATTTTAAAAAGAACTCTCACCTACTGGGAAAAAATTAATAATATTTACCAAAATAAATCGATTACACAAAGTATAAAATCGATATAGGCTGTATGGTACATTTGTCCTTTGTCTGTGAAGATATAAGTTTAAAAAAAAAGTCGAAAATCATTTTATTAAAAAACTACGCGTACTAGGGCTATTGATATAAAATAAGGAACTAGTTGATGTAATTCTGAAGCTAACAAAAAAATCCGGTCTCGATAGGTAAATTTTTTCGGGAATTATCGTGTTATCGTTGTATGTGGTCACATACAAAATCAACATCCGGACGTACACGTAAATTTTTTGCAAACCGTTTATTTTTCAAGGTAGCAATATAAAATGTTTTTTTTTTTTAGTAAATATAAGATGGATTCATTAATGTTTTCTTGATATACGGCTAATCATATTATCGTATAAGTGCAATATAGTTATGATAGAGTGATAGAGGCAACGCAAAATTGCTTGACCTTGACGTGTCGAAAGTAAAGCACTACCTACCTAATAACGCTTCACGTTATGTGGCGTGCGGTATACTGCTTAATTTCATGGAAATAATATTCATTATTCAACAATAATAATTCAATAATATCTCAAAGCGGTGTTGTCTTATAAATAGCATATTTTATATTTATTTTTATATCGACAAAAAACAAGTTGTGTAATGACTTATAAAACCATATGACACGATTACGAAACCGTGCGACATGATTATGTTGTTTATTACTACGTTAGTAGTAATAAACAACATAATCATGTTTCACGGTTTTTATTTATCTATATGCTCGTTTGTACATAACCTTTGTTTTGTAATTTATTTTCAAGTTAATAATATATATTTTAGATATATAAATTATATCAAAAAATATTAATTGGAAGATAATCACTTGGAATACCTTTCTTACATGTCTTTTTCTTGGGTTAACCTTTGTCGACACCCAAACTCTCTTAAGTAACAAAGACGCCTACGTCCACGTGCGGACTATCCGACTGACAATATTCGTATATTATAAAAAGATGTGATTTCTCTCCCCTTCCACGTGTTCCCACCATATCTATCTGCACACCGGATTCCTTTCCGTGAGAGAATCCTAATAGTGTGTAAGGATTCTTTTTTGTACACATATTTGTCAAAATATGTAGATTAAATCCACTAGAAAATTTTAATATCATATTGCTTTATCTTAATCGATATAAATTATGGGCGAAGCAAAATATGGAATAACAATGATAGCCACAGGAGTTCAGTTATTTACGCCCTACAATTCAACAAACACGTATGCAAAGATAGCCTTGAAGCGAGTGATTTATTTATCAACACTCGCAAGTATTTTAAGTACTTGTTAATGACGCTCGTCAACAAATCTTATCGGCCCTCACTGACCACGAAAATATTAGGTAATGATGATGATGTAATAACGTCCTCCAACTTTACCTGTTTTTGGCCCGAAACGGGATTTTATCCCGGGACCACATTATCACCAGTCGAGCTTATGACCAGTAGACCAACGAGGCAATCATTAAATCATATTAATATCTATACATATAATAAATCTGTAGAAAAGTCGTGTCTGTAATTCTAATATACTCTAGAATTTTTGTCTGTCTATCTGTCTTATTGTCTGTCTGTGTATTACCGATTCACGCAAAAACTACTGGACCAATTTCCATTACATTTTTTATGTAGGAGGTAGTTAGTAACCTGGGGCAACCACTCACCAACAGAGATGAGATCACTTTGAATATACTTGTACTGCAATAAATATAAAGATATAAACTCATTTATGTGAAGAATCCATGGGGTTGTTTTTCTATAAATATTATTCTCCTACCTTAAATAAGCCATAATCCTGCAAAGTAATGCTGTTATAACATTGTAGTTTGTTGTTTGACATGTTATACCAGTTTTAATTCCAGGTGCATAAAATATATAAAAAAAGAAAACAGCTGTTATCAGTTAAAATATTTTTATTTTTAACTAATAACAACCGGTGTGACAAATGTCATTTTATCAATTTCATATATTATCACGTTATCTGATGTAAATAATTGAAAATTAAATGCACACTCGGTAAAGTGGTGAAGAATAACTTCGTGGGCAAACCTAAATGTCTGAGTAATTAAAAAAGTCGTGAAAATATGAAGCATTGAAGGATTGCAGCATATTCTTTCTTGCCCACAAACACTATAGTTAACGAGTTGAATGTAAATTCAAGAAAAACAACTTCCTTCTGCGTGAATCCCATATCTCTGGTGCCCTTTGACCTACAGGACCCAAATTAAAACTCGACCGAGCTACTACCTCAAGGTATCCACATACCAAATTTAAAGTCAATCGGTCCAGTGGAACGGAAGTTATCGTGTCGGCATACAGACTAACAGACTGCCAGCTAAAACCGTTAACTTCCTTTCAATGCTACGCAGAAGGAAGTTAATAAGGAGCCCTGTGTACATTAGTGAGACGTATGTAAGCTGTTACTTTAGATTTTATACCTTTAATGAGACTTATAAATCAGTTTGTCAATTAACATTTTTGTATTTTTGAGTTTTCATATTATCAGACAAATCAATATTTTTGTGACAGTCCTGGTTCTTACATAAGATATGTAAATGAACAGGCTGTTGCGAAAAAATACTTTAAATATAAAAGATAGCAGATTTTACTTAAACAAAGGTTTTTTTTATAGGATAAGGGTGACAAACGAGCACACACTCCACCTGATGGTAAGTGGTTGCTGTGGCCCATAGACATCTGCATCTATCCTCGATTACGAATCAAAATGCAGATACGTTGTCACCCGTGAGGACTAAGATGGAATGCGTCTTTTCCAGTAAAAAGTGTCTCCGGTTCTCTACACTCACCATACGAAACAGCAGCATTAAGCTGCTATTTTACGCTGGTATTCTGTGAGAGCGTGGTCCTTCCCCGGTCGAGCCGACCCATTCGTGCTACAACTATACCAGTAATATAGCTGCAGCATGGCTCTACCACGTGAATTATTTTATTTTACTTGTCAAAGGCGGTAATCAAACTGATCCAAACGTAAATTTTATAGTACATAAGCATTATTATATATTTTAAATATATGTTAATTGCAATTTGAAGTGTCGTTTTACCACGTTCTCGGCGGTGAAAGAAAACCTGCATATCTGAGAAGTTCCCCAGTTGAGGTGATCGCGCGTTGGCACTTTTTTGACCAAAACTTTGTGGCCTGTGCCCAGTAATGACATGTATGTAGGCTGCTACTTTTTTTAGTTTTAATAGGGCAATTATGCTGTTTTTATTCCATTCATATTTTCGGACTTTTTGTTTTCACACTACGGTAAATATTAACGGTAGCAAAGATTTGAAAGAATAGAACTCATCATCGTTATCATTACAACCTATCAAAAGTTCACTGAACTGAACATAGGCCTACCCCGTAAATTGTCAAATAGGCGTAAATTATAAAATAAATGAGTTGTTTAACGTCCTGATGTAATAGTTTACGAAGACTACAATCAACTATTAAAAAATAATGTTTGGTCCGATCTAAGCAAGACGAGCTTACAGTATCTTGGAGTCTTGCAGTATTATGCTTGGGTTTGGATTTAATTTTATTAATTAAGGGATCCAAGTAGATGGTAGCACCCAGCCATCTTCTCTATTGAAGTTAGGATGTTTTTAATTTTAATAGCGAATGATCCTTGGTAGGAATCGGTATTATATTGCTAGGATTTGTTGTCTATCATATCTGGTATAATGGTTGGCACAATACTGAACATGTTGACATACTTCAGACTTCTCGTAGCGTCGGTGCTTCACATTAGCAATATATTCTTTTACCCAAATTTTTATGGAACTTTCTTCCAAAGATGTGTTTTGTACAATCCGCTTAAATAAAAGTTAAAATGTAACGTGATTTATTAAAATTTGTTTTATCACATGTTTAGTATTCATCATTATAGAACTGTATTTATAAAATTTTGAAGTCTGCTCGAATGTAGAAAAAATATCAGAATCTATTTTATGATGCCAATCAATATTAAATGGGAACAATGATATGAATCAAATATGAATAAGATCATGAAATCATCATTATTTTGTTAAAACTAAATTAACTTTAATTATTAATGAATGCAAAGAGTAAATGATAATAGTAAATTTTGATTCCACGACAATTTATCTTTCTTATGGATACATCAGAAGATACGTGCAATATAAAAAATTGTAGATATTTCTAGACAAGAAGAGTAAATGATAATAGTAAATTTTGATTCCACGACAATTTATCTTTCTTATTATATATTACAGTTTCTAGACAAGATATAAATGCAATTCTGAAAAACTTATTTATTCACGTGTTCCTGTAGCATATTTATATATATTCCAATTATCAATCATCTAGGTCCAATAGTCTGGGAATTCAAAAAAATTATTTGATAAACTGACATAGAAACACAGACACCGAAGTGACTCTAAAAGTAATCGAATTTTGCTAAATTTGACACGGAATAGCATTTAATTATGTGTCTAAATTGAAGACCACGCGAGCGAAGCTGCGGCTAAAAAGCTAGTATTATAATATAATAAATATTTTTCGTTACCTGCTAGCCATTTCCACTTGATGTCCCAATTCACGTAGTCTTTTAGCAACTTTTTCCTCAAATGCCTTTTGTTCTTTATGGTTAGCAAGCATGGCGTCAAAATCGGAGCCACGCTTTCGGAGTATGGTCTCCAACTCGCTGTCTGATATGTAGTCATGGCTGCGCCTAAAAACAAATTATTAATCAATGTCAGTGTTGGTACGATAAAACTAGAAATAAATACTTTGATCCTCTCGATCCATGTTTTCTTTAAGACACACGGCGCATTATTGTAATTTATCGCCTTAAGTGTATATGTTTTTCATCAAAAAACATTAATCTGTCTTTGGTATTTAGGTAATTTTGACCTCTTAGAATTTTTTTATTTTAATGACAACAATACTACTTATCAGAGGTAATTTTATTGACACTGCATGGGTTATAGAGGATACGATTCTACGTATAAAAATTATAATTTTATACTTTGCATTATATAAAGAATAAACTTTACTTTTATATTTAACTTATAAATCGAATCCCTACTTTGAATGATAATTCAACTGAACTAGCAAAAGGGTTAAGTCCAATAACCTCAATAAGGCATATTATTATTCACTAAGATATTTATGGTACTAAAAATAATTTGCGATAAAAATATAATATTGATATGTAATAAGTTTTTAATAGATAAACAATTTCGTTACTTCGCAATAAGTCTTACAAGGACATGACGTACTAAATGTAATGAAAACAAAAGCATGTTTTTATGGATGGTCAATCTGCAGCTATATAGCTTTCTTCTGGCTTGTAAATGGTTCTTCGATCGATTAGTCGGTAAAATATTCTTTAATATTCTAATTTCTACACACTTTTAGGACTCGAGCATACAAATCAGACAGCTTTGTATTTTTCGACTGATGATTAAATTTTACAAATCGATAACACGATTATGGTTCTTCATTTATAGTCCAAGAGCTGGCGACACATTCTGAGCGCGGATTTGACCCATTTAGTTATATAGTTCAAAAGTGACGTTGAGGAAAGTTGCATAGGGAATGGCTAGTCTGCTTGGCATGTACAGGTGGGACAGGTACTGCGCAAGGTAAAAGTAAGGTAAAATATTTTTGTTAAAAAATATAATTGACCCAGAATGAAATAACACAAATTGTATTCTATTATTAATAATAAGCATAGTATATCGATTGCAGATCATTTGAGTGGGGTGGCACGGAACCAGACCGTGACCAACCAAACAGATATTTTTGACCCACGCTCAAAATTTAATAGCGTGTTAAGTTACATTTTTTAAATAATAATCCCAAAACCCAGATCATTTCGGTGGTGTAAAAACTGCCAGACAACTTAAAATATATGTATTTTATACGTGGTAGAGCCATGTATACGTAGTAGAGCCATGTTGCAGCTATATTAGCAGTATAGTTATAGCACAAATTGGTCGGTTCGACCGGGAAAGGACCACACTCTCACAGAATACCATCGTAAAATAGCAGCTTAACAAGGTTGGTTTCGTATGGTGAGTGTAGAGAACCGGAGACCTTTTTTACTGGAAAAGAGGCGTTCCATCTTAGCCCTCACGGGTGACAACGCATCTGCATTTTCATTCGCAAACCAGGATAAATGTAGATGTCTATGGGCCACAGCAACCACTTATCGTCAGGTGGACTGTGTGCTCGTTTGTTACCCTGTCCTATAAAAAAAATAGAACGAGATTGAAGACGGAAAAGAATGAATATGATAGAGTGCGTTCATAGTGCGTTCTCATTGGCTTAGAGTTCACGCGGTTTAACCATCTGCGCTAACCGTCTCGTCTCTCGTAAAGTATGTTTAGTATAGGTTTGGAGGAGTAATATTATTTGCTGCGTCACCGTGAACACGTGTTCCTGTTGTTGTTAATTAAAAATATATTATTTTCTGTAACATATAAGTGATAGCATAAATTACTTTTCAATGTGTAAACCATAAATTATATGTATTATAAATGATTGCTTTGTGTAGTAAATTATTTTTATATACTCTTGAATGTTTGTTGAATGGTATAAATAAAAATAAATCACAGTATTCTTATTTTGTTATAATTTTTGGGGTTCCGTATCCGAAGGGTAACGTGATTTAGGCTCCGCTGTCCGTCCGTCTGTCAGCGGGCTGTATCTCGTGATCCGTAACAGGTAGACAGTTGTATTTTTCACAGAATGTGTATTTCTGTTGCCGCTATAACAACAAATATTAAAAATAAATTAAAAATTCAGGGAGGATAACCTACTAGAAATGTGTTTTACGATGGTACGGAATCTTTCATGCGCGAGTCCGACTTACACTTTTCCAGTTATATTATTTTTTTTTTATAGGAGAGGGGGCAAACGAGCATGCGGCTCACCTGATGGTAAGTGACTACCGCCGCCCATGAACAACTGCAACATCAGGGGAATCGCAGATGCGTTGCCGGCCTTTTAAAAAGGAGTACGCTCTTTTCTTGAAGGTCCCTAAGTCGTATCGGTCCGGAAAAATCGCTGATGGTAATCGATTCCACAAGGAAGTCGTGCGAGGAAGAAAACATCTTCTAAATCGCACAGTGGTGGACCGCCAATCATCCAGATGGTGTGGATGGTATCGGGAGTTCTGCCGCGATGTGCGTTCGTGAAATTTGGCGGCTGGGATTAATCCGAACAATTCCTCAGAGCACTCCCCATGGTAGATGCGAAAGAAAATGCAAAGGGATGCAACATCTCTTCGCAGTGCCAATGAATCGAGCCGATCGGAAAGGGCTCGGTCGTCGACGATTCGTGCAGCTCTGCGTTGGATGCGGTCAAGTGGAAGGAGCTGGCACTGGGGAGCCCCTGCCCAGAGATGGGAACAGTATTCCATGTGAGGCCGAAATAATCATTATATATATTAATATTATCCGATATAATTATTTTCGGGAACAATCAATTTCATTTGAAGCTAATATTTCTGTATTGCTTAGAAAATTAGCAATTTTATTAAATAAATGACGCAGTATTCAGCAATTTTTACTACATTCATTGCGACAAAAATATATTACAAAAAAAATTATTAGATAAAAAATTTATAAGTAATAAACATTGTTACGTAGAGAAATTTAAAAATTCCTCTTTAACAATTTGGTATTATCTTTATTTTCGTTATGCATTTTCATTAAAATATCCCTATTAAAATGTATTTTCGATTTTTTTCTACAATTATTTAAGAAAATTCATACCGATGTTATTTTCACTCCAAAAATATCATAACTGACAAGAGTCAAAAAGGTTAATACAGGAAACTCTGGTTATAAGTTACATCGAATGCTTTAGTCACTCTCCCGCCTATACCTATATATATGAACTTTTTTTAAAGTAGAAGAGGGAAAGAAATATAACTTATAACCAGAGTCTACTGTACCTCTGTTTAAACCACGTGAACGCTCTAAGCCCATGAGAAGGCAGCATGAACGCTCTCTCTCATATTCATTATTTCCCGTCTTCGGTCTAGTTCTATTTTAAGGAATATTTTAATGTGTCTGGCAGTTTTTTCCACCACCGAAATTATCTATCTTTTTGGGATTATTATTAAAAAAAAATACTTGACACGCTATTATATTTTCAGCGTGGATCAAAAATATTTTTTAAACATCATTGGGGTGGTCTGGTTCCGTTCCACCCCACTCATTTGAGCAATCGATATATTACGCTTATTACTGATAATTAATAGAATACAATTTGTGTTATGTTATGCTGTATCAATTATATTTCTTAACACAAATATTTTACCTTACTTTTACCTTGCGCAGTACCTGTCCCACTTGTACATGCCAGGCAGGGCAGACTAGCCATTCCCTATAAAACTTTCGTAAACGACACTTTTGAGCTATACATAACTAGATGGGTCAATCCTGTGCCCGCAATGTGTCGCCAGCTCTCCGACTATTAGGTTCTAATAACGGTTCTACTTTTCGGCACGGTTCCGGTCTGGGTACGATAGCAATATTATAATACCGGTTCCAAAATACTAAAAAAATAGGTTCCTTTGAAGGATAAAGCCTTTGTGGAGTTTTGGTTTAGTTTTATTTTTATATTATTACTTCGATCGTAACATAGGACCAAAGGAATGTGAAGCAATGTGTCTTATATAAAAAAGTAAATCTTTAAAAATAAAGATTTTCTTTATAATTAATAGAATCAGGAGTTACTTTGCGGAAATCCATTATATAAAAGCTTTTAGAAAAATTTACTTCGCAAATATCCGCGTTATAAAATAAAATGTAAGTGACTTAGCGGTTAGCCACCGTAGAGTCTATATCATCTGAGGTAGATGTGGGCGCCGCGCCGGCGCGCCGCCGCCGTGTCACCCCCGCACGCCGCCGCCGCCGCCGTACAGGGTGACACGGCGTGCGCTTGATTCACCGCGCGGCGTGAGTGGCGTAAAGACGTTCGTTTGTTTTAGTGATTTTTCGATTTAACTTAACTAAACATATCGATTAGCGTGCAGTTTCGTGGTCACTTGGAAGGGAAGGCCAAATTGGCCTCTAAAAAGCTTGGCGTGCTCAGCAGAGCGAGACAGTATTTCATGCCGGCACATCGCTTGCAACTTTACAAAGCGCAAGTTCGGCCCCACATGGAATACTGTTCTCATCTCTGGGCCGGGGCACCCCAGTGCCAGCTCCTTCCACTTGACCGCATCCAGCGCAGAGCGATTCGAATCGTCGACGACCGAGTTCTTTCCGATCGGCTCGATACACTGGCACTGCGTAGAGATGTTGCATCTCTTTGCGTATTTTATCGCATCTATCACGGGGAGTGCTCTGAGGAATTGTTCGGACTAATTCCAGCCGCTCAGTTTCACTATCGTACATCGCGACAAAACTCGCGTTACCATCCATACCATCTGGATGATTGGCGGTCCACCACTGTGCGATTTAGAAGAAGTTTTCTCCCTCGCACAACTTCTTTGTGGAATCAATTACCACCAGCGAATTTTCCGAACCGATACGACTTAGGAACATTCAAGAAAAGAGCTTACACCTTTCTAAAAGGCCGGCAACGCATCTGCAATTCCCCTGGTGTTGCGGTTGTTCATGGGCGGCGGTAGTCACTTACCATCAGGTGAGCCGCATGCTCGTTTGCCCCCTATTCTATAAAAAAAAAAATTAACGATGTTATTGAGGACAT